AGGTTATCAATCTCAATTGATTTCATCAAGGAGTTAAAGAGGTTAAATGCTACTATTAAATCGGTATACGGCGTTGTTCTATATTTGGTTAATAGTAAGGGTTATTAATGAACGGTCGTTGTTAATAACTACCCTCGATGAATTGGATATACTCCTCGATTGAGTATTCGAGAGGGGATAAGTTATAGATATAACAATGATCGACTAAAATATATCAACAAGTGGAAAGTAGCAAGACCAAGTCCCTTTTATTCCTGAATTTAATCCCATATAACTCGTTCATCTTCGTGTTTAATTTAATTAAATCACTCAACAAACAAAACTCCCCTTTATTTACTAGTTCATAAAAAGAGAATTATTCCTTTCCCTGTGGATACGAACTCTACTTCACCTATACTACGTATAAGTGTTAGTATTAAATTTATTTTGAGTGCACTCACGACAAGGTGCACGTCATTTATGGTACCCTGACTCTGGGGCTTCGGCTCACATGACTCCGTCAGAAGGTATTTTAGTTAATAAATTACCTTATACTGGACCACTCTCTGTTAGTGTTGCCAATGGATCTAAACTTCCTATTGTTAATATTGGGGATGTGCATTTAATTTCTTCTGGTTGTCCTCTTACCTTAAAATCTGTTTTTCATGTGCCTCACATCAAATTTAATTTATTATCTATACAAAAACTCTGTGCTGACAACAACTGTGCTGTGATTTTTGACAAAAATTATTTTTTTGTTAAGGACAAAACTTCGGGGAAGGTCCTTTCTTCAAGCACCTAGTCATGGTCATCTCTATCCTGCAGCCTCAGTCCTCAATCTCTGCTTGCGTTGTCATCCATTACGTCATCTGGCCCTGTTTGGCATCGTAGATTAGGCCATTGTGGCACGTCTATTTTACGTAGTCTACATAGTGAGAAACATATTTGTAGTAGCTCTAGTTTCTCTCATGACTGTATTCTTGCCGCTTAGGCAACTCTCAACGTTTACCTTTTATGGATGCTAGTCATAACTCTACTATGCCTTTGCAATTAATACATTCTGATGTTTGGCAGTCTCCTATTTTATCAAATTTAGGTTTTAAATATTATGTATGTTTTATTGATGATTTTTCTAGATACACCTGGCTGTACCCCATGCGCGCCAAGGCCGAAGTATTTCATCATTTTCAAAATTTTAAAGTATTGGTTGAGAATCTGTTTAATACTAAAATTAAAATTTTTCAAAGTGATGGAGGGGGTGAGTTTGTTAATTCTAATATGCAGCATTTTTTTGATACGCATGGTATTTATTTTCGTAAATCATGTCCTGACACTCCCCAACAAAATGGGGTTGCTGAACGGAAACATCGTCATCTTCTAGAACTTACTCGGACTATGCTTCTTGAAGCCTCTATTCCTAGTCAGTTTTGGGTAGATGCCATTTTCACTGCTGCATATATTATTAATCGCTTACCCTCCCCTTTACTTCATGGTTCTTCTCCGTATGAAATACTTTTCCAAAAATCTCCTGATTATTCTTTTATGCGTGTGTTTGGGTGCTCCTGTTTTCCTCATATTACTGCCTCTTCATCAAATAAATTGTCTGCCCGTTCTGTTCACTGTGTGTTCATTGGCTATGCATCTGGTTATAAAGGATATCGTTGTCTTGATCCTAAGTCCGGTCGAGTTTATATCAGTCGGCATGTTCGTTTCTTTGAAAATAATTTTCCCTTTCCTTTATTACAATCTTCTTCCTCTGAGTCATCTCTCCCCTCGGATCACACTCAGTTCAGTTTAACAAATACCCTTAGGCAACCACCTTCCCCAATTCCCCAACCTCTCCAGGCAGTCATCGCCCCACCTCTCCTGGTCCATACCAGTTCGTTCAGCAGCCCATCCACCAATCCCTCTACCAGTCCGTCACGCACCCCAGTTAACTATGAACCACCACCCAGTAGCCTGCAGCCTTCTCAACCTTTTCCCGACTCACCCGCCACTACACCATCCTCGCCTTCCACCACCTTGGACACCTCTGCAAGCCTGCCCCTCACTCCAGCCCGCCATTCTCCTTCTCCAGGTTCCTCGGCAAGCCCCTCACAGTCAGCCAGCCCGTCTTCCTTCCCCATGACTAGTGATATAGTTTCCCAGTTGAATGCTCATCCTATGCAAACCCGGGCTAAGTCCGGTATTTTTAAACCCAAATCAATTTTCACATTAAACACAGTTGTTCATGCAGCGGATCCTACTTGTTATTCTGAGGCACAAAAACATTTAATTTGGCGAGAGGCTATGGCTGATGAGTTTCATGCACTTATTTCTAATAATACTTGGGATTTGGTTCCGTTTGATAGCACTAAAAATGTGGTTGGGTCTAAGTGGATTTATAAAACTAAATTTCATTCTGATGGCTCCATTGAGCGCCATAAAGCACGTTTAGTCGCTCAAGGTTTTAATCAGCAGGCTGGGGTAGATTTTTCAGAAACATTTAGTCCAGTGGTCAAACCCACCACCGTTCATACCGTTCTTACTCTTGATATTTCTTTTGGGTGGGTTATGCGTCAACTAGATGTGAAAAATGCATTCCTATATGGTTATCTTACTGAGGAAGTCTGTATGCGCCAACCGCGGGGCTTTGTTCATCCTCAATTTCCTCATCATGTGTGTCGTTTACGAAAGGCCATTTATGGTCTAAAGCAGGCCCCGCGCGCATGGTTTCACCGGTTTAGTAGTTTCCTACTTACTCATAATTTTGTGTGTAGTAAGTCTGATAATTCCTTGTTTATCTATCGTCAAGATCAGTCTGTTATTTATTTATTATTATATGTGGATGATATTATTATTACTAGTAATTCTCCATCTCTTGTTTCCTCTTTCATTGGTTGTATTGCGTCTCACTTTGCCATGAAAGATCTGGGTGATCTTCATTATTTTCTGGGAGTTCAGGCTACTCGAAATTCTCAAGGAGTGTTCCTGTCTCAACAAAAATATGTGTCTGATCTTCTTTTTCGTTTTCACTTACACACTCTCAAGTCTGTTCGTACTCCTGTTGCTACTCGTATCACTCTCTCTCTCACTGATGGTGAACTTCTTCCTGATGCTACTGAGTATCGTAGTATGGTAGGTGCATTGCAGTATTTCACTTTAACAAGACCTGATATTACTTATGTAGTTCATTTAGTGTCTCAGTTCATGCATGCTCCACGCACTACTCACATGCTTGCTGTCAAGCGCATATTTCGTTATTTCCAGGGAACTATTGATCATGGACTATGGCTACAGCGATCCGGTCAACCCATTCGCATCTTGGCGTACTCTGATGCTGATCGGGCAGGATGTCCAGATACCTCTCGATCCACTACAGGTTTTGCTATTTTTTTGGGACCTAATCTTGTGTCTTGGAAGTCGAAGAAGCAGCCAACAGTCTCCAAATCTTCTACAGAAGCAGAATATCGTGCTATTGCTTATACTGTCAGGAGACCCTTCATATCCGCTCCATTCTGTTCGAACTAGGTGTTGCAATTCGGGATCCTGTCCAACTTTTTTGTGACAATATCTCTGCCTCTTATTTGACAGCTAATCCAGTCCAGCATGCTCGTAGCAAACATATTCATATTGACTATCATTTTGTTCGTGAGAGAGTTGCTCATGGTGATCTTGTAGTAAAATATGTCCCTACACGTCTTCAGCTAGCAGACATTTTTACTAAAAGTTTATCTAATCAGCAATTTCATTTTTTAAAGAGCAACCTGCGCGTTGTATCTCCCGCACAGCTTGATGGGGTGTAATAGTTAATATAAATTAGGAATCTTGTGTATTTTGGAAACTCTTGTTTATTATAAATATACCTGTTAGGGCTCCTATTGGAGTCACGCTTTCCCATTATTTTCACATGTTTCACTTGACTTAAATGTTCTAGTCTTATATGTTTAAGTTTGATCTGATATATTTTAATTAGTTTACAATTACTAACTATGTGTAGTCTGATTTGTTATATATGTTTAGGTTTGTTTAAATTTGGTATGATCTTTGACTTGAGACTTTATTTAATAAGTTCGAAAATATTTCAAGAGTCTTTACCACTTTAGTCCTCCTATAATGTTAGTGACACCTTTTTATACTAAACATTGAATTTTTGGCATTTTTAATCTTTTAACTACTTCGTATTGTATACCACTTTAGTCTTAACTATTTAGTATCATCTTTAAAATTTTCGATATTTGGTTCTTCGATATTAAAAAAAGTGACACTAGTGATCCTTCAATTGTTATCATATTGACATTTTTAGTCTCACACTTATTATGGTAAAGCTATAGTAAAAGGACTAGAAGTGTCAATTTCACAATACACAAGGGATTAAATGTAGAAAGTTTTGAAGTCAGACTAAAAGTATTTTTATTATCAAATTCAAAGGATCAAAAGTGAAAAAATCAAAGTCAAATAGTAAAAGTGTCACTAACATTATATTATAGCCGGAGCGCTAAAAGCGACAAAAACTCAGCACCATAATTATACGAGTATATACTACGGAGTACTATGTGTTTTTTTTTTCAGAAATTGTCTTAAGTAGGAGTAAAAACGTTTTCAAATTCCAAAATAGGAGTATCATGTTTTTTATTCCCTAAATGGGAGTAATCTGCCAAGTTTGGGAAAAAATGCCAAGTTTTACAGCTTTGTAATGCCAAACTTGGCAGAAATTTACTCATATTCAGGGAATAAAAAACATGATACTCCTATTTTGGAATTTCAAAACGTTTTTGCTCCTATTTAGAGAATTCTCTCTTTTTTTTTTTCACAAAAAGGGTAGCCCAAAACATAACCCACAAGAGCTGAGCTTGATGGGGTGGCGGTGACCCTTTTGCAGCTCTCTACATGAATGCATGAAGAAATTTTACCGAGCTGCACCACATGACTTATTCTGTAGGCATTAATTAAGCCAACATTACGTACTGTATTTTTTAACTAGAGACCCTACAATGATATTTCTATTTATCGTCTATATATATGTACGAAAAACTTTAAAAAGGGAGAAAAAGACAAGTTCAGACTTTAATTTGTATATTTCCACATCAATATTAATCTGTTATGACTTACATCACTAAATGCAGTTTCAAGATGCTTTACAGACTTTTCACCACACCTCAAGAGCACGTACAAATCATACAGGTATGGAAATAAACACATGAAAAAAATAAGAGTGGAGAACAGGTGGTAATAAAGGCCTATTAAGATTTAATGGAACTCCAGGTCTTAACACAGTTTGTATGTAATAGTAAATCTATGAGTTCTAACTTCAACGAAATCAGAGCTTGACGATTTCAGGGATGTGCACAGGGTACCGATGAATGCAATCTGCCCACGGTCCGTCAGCCATGGCTGTTTTAATGGTGCGGTTACACTTCCAAACCGCACTGTTACACTTGAATCCACTCCCAAACGCTATCTGCCATATCCTCTCCCCCTTCTTCATCCTCCCTTTGGCTTCAATGTAAGCCAGCTCGTACCACAGCGATGACGATGAAGTGTTTCCGAACCTGTGGAGTGTCATCCTTGATGCCTCCACATGCTCTGCTGAGAGCTGCAAGTTTTTCTGAAGCTCGTCGATCACTGCTCGTCCACCAGCGTGGATGCAGAAGTGCTCGAACGCTTGTTTGAAGTCCGGGATGTAGGGTTTCCACTTCGGGTTAAAGATCTTCCTCCCGATTAAGGTGAAGAGGAAGAGGAGCTGCTCAGAAGCCGGGAGGACGAGCGGGGCCGATCGTCGTGATATTAGATTTCAACGCTTCTCCGGCGATCACCATGAGGTCTTTTGAGAGGTTTATCCCCACTTTGCCCTCAGGGTCTTCCTGCTCATACACGCACTGATATGCCTTGTCATCCGCACCCTTATGGGTGCGAACGACGTGTATGAGCCTATATTTGGCGCGGCCAGAATCCCGAGTCTTGTTTGATAGCAGGATTGCGGCCCCTCCCATTCTGAAGAGACAGTTCGGGAGGAGCATGGCTCTTTCCGAGCCTTGATAGTAGTTGGGAGTGATGATCTCGGTACTAACGACTAAAGCGTTGGAGTTGGGGTGGACCTGAAGAAGGTCACGTGCCAGATCGATTGAAATCAATCCGGCACTGCACCCCATACCGGAGAGATTGTAGCTCTTGATGTTACTCCTCAGCTTGTACTTATTCACAACCATTGCAGATAATGATGGAGTGGGGGAAAACAAGCTGCAGTTGACTATGAGTATGTCAATGTCTTTGGGTTTTAGACCTGTTTTCTTCATGAGAGCATCAATGGCGGAGAAAATGACCATCTCCGCCTCGCCCCTGGCGGCATCCATGGTGGGCTTGGGAGGAATGTAATGAATCGCTGGAGGGAGACAAGTTTCTTCCCCGAGGCCAGACCTGTTCAATCAAATTAATTATTAAAATAATTAGTGGTGTGGTAATCACCGCCCTATTAAATTCCGCCTACGTGGTAGGTCTACATAATTGCTTACGTCTTTTTCATCATAAACTAGCTCTAAATATAAATATTTTAGTCACCCTTGAAATATACAAGTAAATATAAATATTATATTTATGAATTACTGGTAATATAAATATATAATATGCCTTCAATTATTCGATAGAAATACTTTTAATACAATAGTATAAAATCTAAAAAATGCAAATTGCCACCAGGGGCGGAGCCAGAAAAATGTGTGAGGGGGTCGGAATTTAATCAAAATACATTATCAAAATGATGGATAGTTATTATACAATACTTGAGTTAAATGTTTTATATGTAGCTTAGATAAATGGTAGTTTAATGAGCATTTATCGGTTAATGTATTGATATATATGTAATGTATCATAATGCTCACATAAGTAATGACTGAATAAAGTATTTTATTTTTAAATTTAAGAATATAATCAACGTCACATATCAAATTTTGCTTATTTCAAGTTAACATTGTGATGTTTTTTCGAGAAGTCATAACTTTTTACTCGTAATGAGTTACGGGACCCATAATATATCAAATTGAAGGTATTTCAGAGCTCTACATTCTTGAATTTTCAGCGGGGTCGGCTGACCACCCTGAACCCCCTGGCTCCGCCCCTACTTGTCACATATTGACCAAGATTCTAAGAATTATTATTTTTATATTATAAAATAATACTCCGCATAATTTATGATGTTTGAAGAAAAAAATAGCATGTAGATGAAAGGTGTATATTAATGTAAAAACGAGAAAAGAGACAAAAAATGAAAAGAAAATACGGGAGGGAAAAAATAAACAGCATTCATCATATCACCTCGTGACATTATATGCATCACATAAAGTACATACGAGTAGTATATTTACCTAACTCCTGATTTTATTTCATATGGTGTGAATATATCAAAGTGTATCGACATGGATCTTCTCATTAGGAATGTACACTTCTCCCCAAAAACATTCTTTCAAACGTTGTTTCGAAAAGAAATTTTTTTCCCATAAAAAGAGCCATATTTCATTTTTACAGTCTTGCGAAAGTAAATATAAAAGTCAATACGTAAAAAAGGTTTTTTCGAATATACAAAAAAAGGAAAATAAAGTCAATTTTTATGGAATAAAGTTTTTTTGGAAAATATTGGAATAAAGTGAAAATTTAAAAAGAGAACAAACGAATAAAAATAGATATGCAATTACCCGGAATCATCCATGTAAAAGTCAATAGGTTTATGGGAAAATTATTGTGCGAATTCCAAATTCAGACCGACATTTTTTTCTCTCTAAATAGGATATGTTAATCTAATAATGAAAATCTCAAAAATAATTTGTTAACATGTTTTGACATAGCCAAAGTTCCGAGATAACAGTATACTGTTATAAGTGTTAATACTTTCTAAACCTAACAGTAATTAGTCATGATAAAAACATAACACTTATATTCTGAAATTGCCAAATGTTCTTATTCATATTTAAGACAGCTTCTTTAGGGTTTATTTGATACCATTTGAATTCTAATATTAATAAACCAAAAGTTGGATTATCTAGCTAGCTAGGTATATAGCTAAGCCAGCTCATGAACGTAATTAGTATGGTGGAAGCCATACCCTTACATTATTATAGCCAACCACTATATCGTCAAGGGCGAAAAAAATCAACATATAAGTACATATACTCAAAAATTATAAACGTAGTACCTAAAATATGCTTAATTATATATGAACATTTCGCGACCTTGATACTAAATTTCTAATTCTGCCACTACTATAAGAAAACAATATATTTATAGTTCGAGGTTTGAATTTGACCTTTCAAGAATGCGCATTTGAAACTCCACGCTCTTGGGATTGTTTTTAAGATTCAGTCTAGAGTGTTCCATGAAGGCGGAAAATGGAGCCCGAAAGCTGACCGGAGGTTTGTAGCAGGCGTAGTCGACAAGATAAATGGAACGAGGTTTAGACATGAAGTAGACGGTGGCGACGAAGACGACGAAGAAAAGAGAACACAAGACTGTGAGAGGATCCATGTTGGTTAAGGAATTCGAAAAGATTACGATTTCTTCGGGGCCTAATCGGAGGACCTCAAACGAGACGGCAGCCGAGACCGGAACCAGCAACAACGTTAGGAAATGGTTGACTATGTATTGGTAGCCAAGCTTGAGGTATTTGGGCTTGGCTGATGAGTTGGTGTGTGGTGGCGTGGGGTGTGCCATTATGAAACTGCCACTATTCCAGCTTCTTTGGGAGGAGATATAAGATTTGGAGTGGAGAAAGCCCTAGTTTATTATGTTATGTTACTATAACTAAGAGCTAGGAAATATGGAGGTAATGACTAATGATAGGTTTATTTAAAGACTGAAAAATGCTCTATATAAAACGAAGAATTTAATGATGGGCAGATGGGAGACTTAAATGAAATAGCTATCATTGGGTCAAGCGGTCTCTCTCTTTCTTTGTTGAGGAAGAGTAGCCGAATCGGACGGCTATGCTAGGCGGAACCCAACCACGAGTCCCTTTTTGAAAGGATAGACCAGCTTTACTTGCCCAATGTACATAGTACTCCTTCCGTCCTTTATAACTTTGTTAACTTTTCTTTTTTTGATGTTCTAATAACTTTGTCACTTTCCCTTTCAAGTAAAGAATTTGTGGTTCCAGTTAACTATCTCTCCTCTGCACAAACCTCAACCACAAAATTTTTACTTTATTAATCCATGTGCCCGTCAAACTTGGCAAAGTTATTAGGGACAGAGGGAGTAGCTGTTAATTATGGCGGATTACCAAAAACAAAAGAAAATGAGAAAGGTAAGGATGCTTTTACTTGAACTGTAATTTGCTGGTCTGGTCTGGTCTAAATTGGTCTAGGCTGATTTCTTTGTATGTTTATAACTACCCAAGTTTGGTCTGGTCTGTTCTGGGACAAATTATAGTCCAATTTTCACATTTGATCATGTACTAGTTTGGGCATTAATATATCTAATTTCATTAGTCGTGGTAGAACCAGCCACAACTGTTGTCTTCTCCTCCAAGTGGTTTCTTCTAGATTTCCTCTCCTCATCGTTGATGTAGGTGTAAGACATCCAAAAGCTGTTGTTTTGAGCGACAACCATTCCTTAAGGATTTCTAGGGTTTGTTTTTCCGATGGGGCTTGCAGTCGGCTGTTTGTTTGACTATTAGGTTTATCAAACGAAGACGTCGAAGCAGGGCAGTTAGTTTGCATTTTGACTTTGATGATTTCAGTTTTTAATGGAGAAGCTTGAGGAGCAGTACTACAAGTTTACCATGGACAACGAAAAAGAGGGTTTAGTGCTCGAAGGTGCGGCTAATGGTACATGAAGAATAGCGTTTCAAATGAATTTTTCATGGGTTGAAATTCTCTTCACCGAAATAAGAGATTTGAAAGAGGGAGTTAGCCTTCACCCGTACTACAATAGGTCGTCCTCCTCCGGAACCACCTCCGTGCGAGGAAACAATTTGGAGAAATTTTTTATCTTCATATTATTTTTCCTTTAGTATGGTAGTACTAGTTTTTATTCCAGTTTAAGTATGTATGATTCAAGTATTCTGATTTTCGAAAAACTTTTGATAGATACTGCTTCATTTTTCATTTGAAGCTGCTTTGGAGTATTCTGCCTGCTTTGTTTTGATTCTTACTAGTAAATACTAAATCAGACCAGGCTGAAGCCGGAAAAAGCGCGTTGTTGTTTTGAGACATGGAATTGGTGCTATGTGGTTGGAGACATAGATGACTCTGGCAAAAGGGATCGGACTTTCATATAACGGCCAAAGAGATCAAAGGCGGGTAACAAACGGTAGAATGTCAAACTTAATTGTGAGCGGAAAAGATAGGGTAATATATACCGTACAGCTGGCTGTACCTAGGGCATGGTACAACCGGGTTTTTTTGTAATTAAATACAAGTTTCAGGGTAAATGTTAGGTTAATGCCTGTTGCTGCTTTTCTTTTCCCCCACTCTTCTGCCGATTTGCTTTTCTTTTACCCCACTGCTCTTCCACCGATTTTCTCTCTTTTTTAGTTGATGGCTGCTACGGACTATGGCTTTACTCCGTTGTCTTTTTTTTGTTCTCTTTTCTTTTGTTGCTTTTCAGTGAAATTTCTGCTTTTCACTTTTTCGTGGCTTTTCATTTTCCATTGTTTTCAGTTTTTGTTGTTTTCTTGTTTTAGTTCTTGGTTTCTTTATTTTTTTCTTTAACATGCTTTGATTTTTTATTCAATTATAATCCAAATATATAATCTAAAATATTGTTGATGTTCAAGTTTGTTTTTTCTTGTTTTTCCAATCAAACTTCTAATTTAAGTATTTTAAATTTCTGCATTATAAAACATTTTAGGTAATTGATAGAGTATATAGACTCCGGACCCCGAGTATCACGACTATTGTGCTTGGACAGCGGCCCACATACGCTCAGTAAATAACATTTATCTCATTGTACACTCTATTTTATTCATGTATGCTCATTAGAATAGATTAAATATTAGAATAGATTAAATAGCATTTATTTGCCATTCATTGGCCTTTTATTGTAACTGGGCCTTCCAGGCCCAAGTCTGGAAGCCCAGACCCATTTTTCTCCTATAAATACTCTGATAGGGTGAATTTCCTATTATGTATGTTTGTATTTTTAACTAGTTTTATTAGTTCTAGTTGTAGAAATTACACACTTTTGGTGTAATACTTTATTTTCATTAATTATTTGTAATTTATTTAGATTAGGATTTTATTGAGCTTAGGACAGGTCAAAATCATCCCAAGAATCAAAGGATGGATCCTAAAGACCAAAGAATGTGCAAAAAGGAGAAGATCAAATGAAGATTTTGAAATTTGTTCAATACTCGGTCGAGTATTGCCAATACTCGGTCGAGTATTGGCCTGATACGCTGGTCAAAATCAAATCTGGGAGCAAAAGAACGTGGCTGAATATTTGATAAAAATCCTGTCGCATACTCGGTCGAGTATTGGCAATACTCGGTCGAGTATGCCTATTTTTCACAATTTCCTGGAAATTTCCTCTCATACTCGGTCCAGTATTGCCAATACTGGATCGAGTACCGAACCCTGCCACCTCTATTTTGCTATAGATACACCCCTTTTCCTTCACATTAAGGGAACCAATTCACATATACTCTTTAGCTCAGTTCAGAATAGTATTTCTTTTATATTTTTTATAGCATGTTTAGTCTCCAAATGAGGAGCTAAACTCTTCCATCTTGGTTTTGCTACTTTGAAGCTTAATGAATTTGTAAGTTGTGAGTTATTCTCTTTAATCTTCTTCCTTGAATATTAATTCTTCCTTTAAATACTATTTCTATATCAATGTTGGGGAGTGTTACTAAGATGACAATTAGTTAACATCTTGACATTAGTTATAGTAATAATTATTTCTTCCTCTATGTTAATATTGGGGAGTGTTACTAAGATGACAATTAGTTAACATCTTGATATTAACTATAATAGGATTCATCTTCTTTAATATTCTTTCTTGAGTATTGATTAATTCCTATTCATATTTCATATTAATATTTTGAACATTACTTAAAGGATCAACTAGTTTTGTTTCATATATTAATTAATACTAGAATCGGTCGATTAATACGCTTGTTATTAATTCGGTCCTTTCATGGTAGTAAACTTGGATTATTAATGCATGCATCTCATGGTTAATAATCTAAGGGGAATTAATTATATTGATTAAACCAATAAACCGCTTGTGTTGAGGTTATCAATCTCAATCATTTTCATCTTAAGTTTATTGCTACTATCAAGTTAATATACGGCGCTTGTTCTATATTGACTCGATAGTAAGTTTTATTAATGAACGCTTCTCGTTATTAATAACTACCCTCGATGAACTGGATATACTCCTCGATTGAGTATTCGAGAGGAAGATAGATAAAGATATAATCGGGATCGACGAACATTTCATTAAGTGGATAAAAGCAAAGCCAAGTCTTCTTCTCATTAATTAAACTCATTTAAGTCATTCATCTTAGTGTTAATTAAATCAAATCAAATCTAAACCCCCCCCCCCCCCCTTTGTTACTAGTTAATTAAAAAGAGAAATATTTCTTTCCCTGTGGATACGAACCTTACTTCGCTATACTACGTATTAGTGTCGTATTGATATTTATTTTGATTGCACCTCACGACAAGTGCACGTCATACTCCCTATGGGAGCCATGTAAAGGGTTGGAGGTTGGAAGTTGGAAATTCATTTATACATATGGCTTTATCTCTCCAGCTCTCCATTCTCTCTAGATAAATAATCCATCAGTATTAATGCTTTGCTCTTCAATTTTTAATTTTAAGATGACTACTTGTTATTTTATTAAATATTTTGTGCTAATTACTAACATGAGTTATGCTCAAATTAGCACTAGACCTACTCCATATTGAGCTCAATCCGTATTAACGTTTAAAATGAGCATAACATCAGTAAGGATTGAGCATATGTAGCTTATTACAAAATAAGCATCAATATGAAAATAATACATAAATGTACATTACTGTTAAAAGAATTGAACATACATAATTAATTATTTGAGCACATTAGAAAAATCAAGTGAGCATACATAAATGAATAAATATATTTGAACATATATGCTCATGTTGTAGGTTACATATGCTCACTTGGTATTAGTTTATGTTCATTCTAAAATGACTTATCAATGTATTTTTCAAAACTATCACATTGCATTCACATGAGAGTTGATTATAGACACGAGAGGATAGTTCATGATACTCAATTGCACGCTTATAATACTCAATAGAGAGGTGTTGATGCTCAATGAAAAATGTTTGTTGCTCAACTAAAGATGCTTATTATTTTCATATCAATGATTCAATGCTCATTTTGTAAGTTACATATGCTCAATTGATAATGATGATATGCTCATTTTTAAAATATCATATCAATGCATATTTCAAAAGTATTATATTACATTAGATTCACATATTGAACTTCATAGGAACTGATAATAGATATAATTTAATAAGTTTTTATAAAAGAAAAAAAAAAGTGAATTAGGAGATATGACGCGGAGATTATGATGCTCAATACTAGACTCCTAATAATCAACAGAATAGGTCTAGCGCTAATTAAAAGTTCATTAATCCTCATTTCACATAAACCATTATTTTCATCACAATATAGGAGGTTTGATGCTCAATGAAAATGTCATGACATCCAACTAACAAACCTTACGATTTTCATATTTATGCACATTTTGAAAGTTGTGTATTCTCATTTGATACTGATATCATGCTCATTTTTAAAATGACATATCAATGCATATTTCAAAAGTTTCATACTACATTAAATTCGCATATTGAAGTTTATATAATTAAGTTGATTGTAGATATAACTTAATGAGTTTTTGTAAAAGATAAAATAAGAAAAAAATGAAAGTGAATTACAATATATGAAATTGATATCACAATACACATTATTCGACTCTTA